AAATAATTTGGTCTCAAAAAGGTTAATTTTTTGAGATAAAAAATTTGGTCCCCAAAAAGATAATAATTCATCACTAATTTTCAATTTTTGTTGCTAAAACTATAATAACGACAATTTTCAGAACAAAAATATTTGGTTCCTAAAAAATAATTTTGCCCCCAAATTTTGGTGTCTAAAACCTTAATTTTTTGTAATGTCTCTTAAATACCCTAAAATCTTTTGAAACCTTCTAGATTTCCCTAAATTTCTCCAAACTCCAATGTTGAGGAACCTTATAGAATGTTCTAGAATCTTTCGAATTTCTCTAACTCTTTCCAAAGTCTTCTAGATCTTTTTGAAATCTTCTACATTATTTAACATGTGTAGTTGATGGCCTTGATAATTCTAAAAGAGTCAATGATGACTCTTAACATGAACTTCATTTCTTTTGGGTAAATTGATGAATTTGGTGAGACGGGTTATTGTTCTTACAATTTTGAAATATTGCCTTTTCGGAGATAAATGATGTTGGGTAGGTCTTAACTAGATGAATATTATTTGTTTATCAAATTGAATTCACTTGCCATTATATGATTATAATTATTCTAAATAGGCCCTTTTTACAATCTTTTTTTGATCGTCAAAAGAAATCTCTATTGATGAGAAGAAGATTACATCAATAAAGAGGAGCTTGGAGCTAGCACAAACTCCAAGCTCTAGTTGGTGAGAAACCAACAAAGCAAAGCAAGAAAAACAACAAGCCAACCAACAAATTAAAACAGAATTAGCAGACCCAGAGGAGCTCCATTTGCTGTGTTGCCTCCAGAGCTAGACAGAGTAGCTGAAGCTTCCACAAAACACATCTCAATCACCTCAAACAGACAGCCTAATCTGTTGTAAATTAGAGACAAAATCATGAACAAAGTAATCAAACTGCAAAACCCATTTGGCCCACAAAGCAATATGCACCTTAATTCTTTCACATAAGCCTTCAACAGCAAGTTGAGCCCCCTTGAATGTACAATCATTTCTTAATTTCCAAACATACCAGAAAACCACAGAAGGAGCTATCTGTCAAATTCTAGATTCCCTTGACTTGAACTTACCGCCAGACCACCATTGTAGCAACCCCTGAATTGATCTAGGTATTACCCATACCAGGTCCCACCACCTTACCATTAGTGACCAGCACTCCCAGATTAGTGGACAAAAAAGTAACACATGCTCTAGAGTTTTCTCCTCGGCATTACAGAACACACAAGCAGAACTAGCACTAGCAGCTAAGACCCTAATCCTTTTTAGGAAAGATGAAGTCTTCACCTTACCTTTCCAAGCCAGCCAACAAAAGAATTACATTTTCTGGGGAGCAGAATTTACCCATATCCCTGTAGGAATATTCATACCAGGTCATTTTTCTGCCACCCACCACTTTCACGCAGAGGACACTGAAAACTGACTTGAGTTGTTAGCTAACCATGAGCAAGAATCTTCAATATCAAACTTAATTGCAGGGGATGATGCCAGCAGCCTTAACAACCTCTGCAGCTCGTCTTCTTCCCAAGCAAATAGCCTTCTTCTGAACTGCAGCTGTCACACCCCTAAATTGCTCTTCTTAGCACTGATTTGATGTAAAGACTCCTCTTTCTCAATAGATAAATGACGTAATATGGGGAACTCAACCTTCAACCCTCTGTTACTGACCCAGCCATCAGACCAGAAATGTATTCTCCTCTCATTACCAACAGATACTTTAAAATGATCATCATAAAATTCACCCAGGTGCTGGTTGACTGAAGGTAACTTCACAATATCTTGCCAAATAATGGACATCCCACCTGTGTGAGTCACTGATGGCATCCAACCCCTACCAATTCTGCCATACCTTGAGCACAACACAGATTTTCACAAGGATATCTTCATTTCCATACCTTCACCACCACTTTAACAGCAAGTAGTCATTCACCTCTCCTAAGTCTCTTACACCTAAACCTCATTGCCATTTACTTTTGGTTACCTCCCTCCATTGGACCAAGTGTACTTTCTTCTTATTTTCAGACCCTCTCCATAGAAAAGAGGACTAAATTTTCACTAAAGTCTTTACAACCCCTTTAGGCATCCTGAACAATGAAAGGAAGTAAATGGGAAAATTTGAGAGAACAGATTTGATCAAAGTCAATCTACCCGCGAAAGATAACAACTTCCTCTTCCAGGAGGACAGCTTTTTCTTCACCTTTTCTACTACTAGATTCCATGTGCTCTTCCTTCTAGGATTGGCCCTTAAAGGCAAACCTAAGAAATTAAATGGCAATTTCTTAGTCAGACAGTTCAAGGTCTGAGCAAACTCCTTAGTTTAGTCCTCTTGAAAGCCCACACCACAAACAGCATTCTTGTGATAATTGATCTTCAGCCCAGACAACACCTCAAAGCACCTCAATACCCTTTTTATATTCAGCACTTCCTCCAAATCACCCTCACAGAAAATGATAGTATCATTTGCAAATTGGAGATGAGATATACTCAACTCATTAGAGCCAACTATGGCATCTTGAAATAAACCTTTCTCAGTAGCCCTCCCCAATAATAGATTAAGAGCTTCTGCTGCTATAATGAACAAGAAAGGAGATAGAGGGTCTCCCTTGACCCCTTTTGTAGTTGAAATTCCTCAGTGGGTGCACCATTAACCAAGATAGAAATTTTAACAGTTGAAATGCAAGTCTTCATCCAACTAATCCATTGTTCAACAAATCTAAAGTTTCTCATCATAGATATTAGAAACTCCCAGTTTATTGAATCATATGCTTTCTAAAAATCTAACTTGAGTGTAATCCCCTTCTTTTTAGATCTCTTCCACCTATCTACTGACTCATTTGCTATTAGCACCCCATCTAGGATGTACCTTCCACTAACAAAGGCAGACTGAACCTCACTTATCACAGTTGTAAGAACCCTCTTAAGTCTTCTGGATAACACCTTGGCCAAGATTTTATAAACTGAACTGACAGAGCTAATTGGCCTATAGTCCCCCAAGCCTATAGGGTTGACCTTCTTAGAGATAAGAACAATAAAAGAGCTGTTAATCGCTCTTGACAGCTTTCTATTAGTGTGAAATTCATGCATCAACTGAATTATCTCTCGTTTCATTATTTTCCAACAACTTTGTATGTAGGCCAGGTTAAAACCATCAGAACCAAGGGCCTTGTTCCCATCACAGTCTTGAATTGCTTCCCAAATCTGAACTTCAGTAAATACAGCTTCCAAACTCACTGCTGCCTCAGGGCTAATAGTAGCAAAAGGGCCTGACATTTTTGGCCTTTGTATCCATTGCTCAGAAAATTGCTGACTAAAGTGCCTAACCACCTCTTGTTTTACCAAAACTGGATCCTCTAGCCTCACACCCTTCACTAAAACTGAGTCTAACATATTCTTTCTCTGCCTACTGCTTGCTATAATATGAAAGAACCTTGTATTTCTATCACCAAATTTAACCCACTGCATCTTGGATTTTTGGTGCCACAACCTCTCATTGTTTCTATTGAGCTGCCACACCTTGGATCTGACTTCTCTTCTTCTTTTAATTTCCAAATTAGTCAAGAACCTGGATTCTGCCTTTAGATCTCATTCATATAGCTCCTCCTCATCTGATTTTAGTAAAGTGTCTATATTGCCAAACACTTCCTTGTTCCACACCCTCAGATGATTCCTCAAAATGTTCAACTTTCTCATGACTCTATACCCTGCCCAACCTTGCACTTGTGTGTCCTCCCACCACTTTTTTACTTCAGACATGAAGGTAGGGTGTGATCTCCAAGCATTAATGAATTTAAAGGGCTTAGGTTCCCGATCCCTATCATCCTCCTTTACCAATATTGGACAATGATATGAAATTATTCTAGATAAGCCCCATTGTTTGATGGCAAACTTTTCCAACCATTTTGGATCTAACAGAAATCGATCTATCCTGCTCCACCTATCTCCTTCCACTGCATTACACCATGTGTACTGTCTGCCTAGGATAGGCATATCAATCAATTCCAACTTTTCTATAAACTCATTAAAGTCTAACATCCCCCTCTCTCTTCTAGAGCAGTCCTTTCTCTCACTCATATATCTGATTTTATTAAAATCCCCTCCCACACACCAGGGTAATGGAAAGTGTTGGTGAATACTCACCAAAGATTCCCAGATTTGTCTCCTTCTCATAACCTCATTTGGAGCCCTTTTTACAATCTTTAATTGACTTCATTTATGAATAATGAATTTTTGTTTGGAGCATAGTACACACTACATTTTGGATTGAAAGTAGAAGTTATGAGGATTACTAACCATTAATTTTGTATTTTTTTTTTAGTATAATGATGTTCTGTAATTTAATTCCATAAAATCCTCAAGGAAAAATTCTCACGCAAAGAGTGAAACCTTTTTTAATTCCATAAATTTCTCATATAATTGAATATTTACTTGCAACCCAACTCGCTGGTCATGTTTGGCAACTACATGTTTTAACCAAAAAGTCAAAAAGTCACTATAAGTTGTCACGTCACTCTCTTTACTTTTCTTTATATCTTTTCGTAAAAAGTCAAAAAGTTGCTAAAATAATTTGTTTCCAAATGAGGCCGAAATGTCCAACCTATTGTATTGCAATTCCGAAGATATTTAAACATATAGTGTATAATATTAAGAGGATGCATGAAACAATACGTCTCTTCTATGCTCGTGTGAAGGAAAAATTATTAATTAGATAATTCTAAAGTACCATGTGACATTATTTATAGGGAGACCCTATCAAATAAGAAATCGCTATGTACATTAAATAAGTAAAAAATGAAATAATACACATATATTGTCTATAGTACTTTTCTATTTGTTTAATTTTATAAAAATGAGGACAAAGTAACTCCTTGCATTAAATTGCAATAAAGATCATTAAACAAATTTGGTGCCAATAAATGTTTTTAAAACTCCCAACCAAATATATAAACACCAGTTTTCTCACCATCTAACTACATCCCAATTTATTCACCCGAAAAAAAAAAAAAAAAAACTACATCCCATCCCAACAATCCCCTAGTGACCAACACGAGAAATCACCATCCTCATCAACCATGGTGAAACTCACTATAGTTGTTGTGATGCTCATTATGTACATTGCCATTAGACCCTCAATGGAAGAAAATATTGCACCACAACCGGCCAACGATGGCGAAGAAGCATTAGCACCTTCACCCATTGATGATTTCTTGGAAGATTTTGCGCTAGCACTAGCACCATCACCCATTGATGCGTACTTGGAAAAATGTGTTGAGAATTTTACCGATACTTGTGGTTCGCAGGTGTTTGAGGGTGTTTTTGGAAATACGACAGTTACCGCTCCATGCTGCAAGAACCTTTTGCTGGTGGGAAAGCCATGCCATGATGGGCTGGTTAAGAGAATTCTTAACTTACCTTGGATTAGAAAACATGTGAGTGAGTCCCAATTATTGTCACAGAGTGATGAGATTTGGAGCAAATGTGTTTCTGATGGGGTAGCTGTTTTCCCACCCTCCTCATCTCCAACCTCTTCCTAAGATGATTTGGGTTTGGTTGTGTTGATGTACCATATTGAGAAAGATGGTTGAATAAGAAGTATGCATACATTGAGAAATGAAATTTGTCATCTATTTATTTTACCATTTTATTTCGTCTCCAGCAGAATGTATGTACTATGCAATAGATATAATATGTATACAAAGGATCTATCATATTTAAATAATATAGGAGGTAAAAAGTTCAAGTGAGCCATCATACATATTACAGTAGTACTATGCAGATAGAAAAAATTATGCATAAATTAGAACAGATTGATATGCATGTTTTAATTTTTATTACTTTAAATTAAAATATTCATCAAATTGATTTCTATTTTTTAAAGTACCACATTGTTTTTGGCAAAAAAATGTTCTACAAAAATTATATAAGAATATCATTTCTTTTGTATACAGTCTAGAATTTTCATAAAAATTGTGTTGTTTCTTGTAATCCTTTTATTTTCAATTAAAATACTTACTATAATTTCATTATTTAAAAAATATCATTAATAAATAATTTTAAATATATTTTTTGTATACAAATTATTTTTCTAATTTCACGTTGCAAAACAAGGCCACCGTGGTCATGGTTGCAAGTAGTGAGGTGTGTTCTGAATTTGATTCACCAAGATTCTATTTCTATTGACGACTATCAATAAACCTAACAAATTTAATATAATTTCCTTTTAATATAATTAAAACAATTAAATTAGCATGGATGGTGTTAAAGACCGGGGATAAGCAAAGTAATGTATATATTTTAGTGTAAAATATATGACATTATAATTTTTTTTTATCTATACTATTAATGGATTACTTATGAAAAAGAAGATTAAATATGATGTGAATTAAAAATTTGCAAAAACTCAATATAATTATGTTAATCTTATGAGACTCAATATATATTTTTTAATTTTTTTAAAAAAAATTAGTGTAATTTAACTTCTAAAAAATGTACTCGTGTTGAGAAAGAATGCCTCCTTTAAATATAGGAAATGAATATTGAATGAAGGATAATAAGCCCTTTTTTTTCTTCTCCTCTCAATAAGCCAATATCAATGCCGACCATTCGTTTTTTTTTTTTAATATTTTTTTTAATGGATTTAATCATGTTCCTCTACTTCCAATTAGAATTGGAATTTTTAGTTTAAGGTTCCTAATATTAGGATTTATAAGATAAAGGATATACAACATTTTCATAATAGTTGAAGTCCTTCAACATTTGCACAAAGAAATTTCTAACTCTTCACAAAGAATATATATATATGTATATTTTTTACAGAGAAATTTAAGCTCTTCACAGAGAAATTGATGAGTTCAAATTTTTCTGTGATAAGTTGAAATTTCTCTAACAATATTATTGAAGAACCTTAACTAATAAGAAAAACATATTGGATTCTCCTACTATCCAAAGTTAGAGAGGGGTGTTATACTAATTTTTCCCAAAAAATATTGCAAAAATTTTAGAAGACAACTTCTCTCGGATTTGTAAATTTGGACTCGACCACCATCCAATTAGATTCTATTTTGATAATTTGAGTCCTTTATATTTTAAGGTTTATAGAGTAAATTATTCATACAAAAAATTAAGTTGATCGCATAACAATAACTATATGTTAAAATTAGTTTGATATTAAACAAATGAATGGTTATACTTAAATGGACTTAGGATTATTACTAATCTTGGACTCCCAGTAGGATTAGAATAAACTCTCTAAGAGTCTTATCTTTACCCAAACTGAAGTCTTCTCCCATTCTAGGACTCTTGTCCCTTATCCGCTTATCTCGGATTCCGGTTTCTTCGCAGATAACCTCGGCCTAGCCGAGATCATCTCGGCGTCATGATCAGGACACGTGGTACCTCGGCTGGCACTTCGGTGACACCTCGGCCACATGTTGTCATTCAAAAATTATGTCCCCACAACTGCCCCCTAGGTTCTATTACCTCGGCATCCTGAGGTGATGGAACCTATATCATTTCTTCCATTTTAGCACGTCAACTAAGCTCGCCTCATTATTTATTGCCGAAGTTAGAACTCGTCGGCTCAATATGACCAAGACCTATAGTCTGCTTTCATAAATGCTTTAGAACCAATCGACCAAGTTCGTTCAAGTCTCTCAACCGAAATCGTCCTCCTAGCCGAGGTATTTGCTTCATTGAATCAAGAACTCCATGAGTTCCAGCATGCATATGAGCTGGTACGCACAGTATTTTAACCGTTTTTACCACGTGTCTTTCCCTTATTGGTCCGGACCTGATACGCGCCATCAAGTCGTATCACTTTTGCGTGCACCGTCTGACAAGCACGTCGTCCAAGGCACCATAATTGTCATTTTGTCGCCATTTTCATGTTTTTTATCAAAATCAAAATTCTCTCTCTCAAATCCTTCATTGCTGCTTTTGTTGCACTTCTTTGCTTACTACCACCGTCTGACACCAGCGTACTTCACACCGGCCTTTTTGTAATCTAAACAATTATTCTTCAATGTTAGGCTGAAGTGCCTTCTTTCCTTTTCTGAATGCATTTTTTAATTTCTTCTTTCAACGTGGTTGCATGTGTCTTCTTTTTATTCTTGTACGATTCTATACTTAAAATAATTTGCATGTCTTCAAAATACACCTTAACTGTGCAATCTCCTCGGGGTGTAACACCTCGGTTGTACCCACTAATCGGTTTATCTCAGCCTCGGCTTAACACTTGAAAATATTTATAATATTTTCACAAGTGTATTTACAACTCGATACTTCACTTTTAGCAAGACTTCTGTTTTAAAATTTCTTCCAAGTCTTGGCAACATGGTAATCTCGGCAAGTATGTAGATATTTCTTTTAACATAACCCTGGCATAACTTGAAAATTTTTCTCAAAATTTCAACAAGTGTTAAACCACTCTTCTTTTAACATAACCTCAGTTAACTTCAACTTGTAAACTTTTCTCAAGTTTCAACAAGTGTTAACACATGATCTCGGTTTAACTTCAACTTGTAAACTTTTCTCAAGTTTCAACAAGTGTTAAACATAACATCGGTTTAACTTCAACTTGTAAACTTTTCTCAAGATTCAACAAGTATTAAACATAATCTCGGTTTAACTTCAACTTGTAAACTTTTCTCAAGTATCAACAAGTGTTAAACATAACATCGGTTTGTGAAATTCCAACTCCCAAGCATCATTCTCCAGCCCTTTGCCCCTTAATGTGAACTTAAATCCCACTTAGGTTCTTATTAGGTACGTGGCTTTGACCTTGAAATTGCTCTATGGGCAGGGGATCTGCCCCCTGCATGGCTTCTACATACTCTTTTGTGGAAAAAATTCTTTAACTTAAGCCAAGCTCTTGTCTTCTCAGACTTAATCATCTAAGCCAAGATCTTGTCTTCTGGGATCTGGTATTCCAGATCTGGAATTTGGGATCTGCTTACTTGGGCTAAGCTCTTGTCTTCTCGTGTCCAATATTATCTCGGCTTCGCTTCGGCGAACCATTTCTCTTCTCTTATTTGGATGCCTTTGTCCCCGGCGTGTCTTCCTCGGCTCTGGCATACTTTTCTATCCTGGCCATCGACTCCTCCATGCTTTTCGGCAATGTCTTTGCCAGTGATTTTCGCAACAGGCAGTCATCCTTCAAGCCTTTTTTAAACGACATGACCGCCACCTCTTGGTTGCATCCTGGTATTCGGTTGAATACCTCATAATACCTTTTGGCATAGGCCCTACGGCTTTCATCCTCGCCGATCTTCAGGGCTATTAGGGTGTCCACCCTCAATGGCTGTAGTTTGTTTATCACGAACCTGGCCACAAACATCTCGGCCAGGCCTTCCCAGGTTTTCACAGTTTCTTTCGGCAACTTGTGAAACCAGTCCGATGCAATTTCCCCGAATGATGAGGTGAACACTTTGCAGAGCAACGACTCGTTCCCAGAGTATAACGCCATTGCGTTCAAGTATAATCCGACGTGAAAGTTGGGGTCCGACTTCCCATCGTATATCTGGAACCTCGGCATACTGAATCTCTTCGGGACCTCAACTTTGTCTAATTCTTCTGAGAACGGCGTTCTCGGCTTGACCGGGGAGGTTACCTCGGCATCTTGTTGCTTCCTCTGTAGGTGATCTCCCAGATCCTTTTTGGTTCATCCAAGAGCTCGGCTATCTCCGGATTTTAGCCTCTTTGGTGCACTACTTCTAGTGTCATCGTGAGTCCTTTTGGACCTTCCTCCGCTGGTCGTGTCGAAACAGAGTTCCTTCCTCTGAACATCTCGATGTTCTTTGGTGCAGGTTTCTTTTGTTCGACGTGTCTTCTGGGATTCTCCATGCCCGATCTCCCGCGAAGGCCGGTGAGAATGTCCCTTGGTCCCGCCATGCTGAGGGACTGCAGGAACTGTTTCCTGCCCTCCTTTCTGGGCACCTTTCTTGGCCGCTAGAATCAGCGTATCTTGTAGCAGGAACGGTGGCTGCATGACATTGTTCTACATCATGAAATTGACGACCGTTTACAAGTCTGCCAATTTGTCCGGCATTCTCTTTATCTCGCCGTCCCTCCGCAGGCATCTATCTTTCCATACCTGGAGGTCGTCCTCGTTATAATACCCGCTCCGGTCCGATTTCTTTGGTACGTCGTCCTCCTGGCCGACGTCCTTTCCTCCATGATTCTTATCACGAGTCTCTTCGTTGCAGTTGTCTTCTTTGACGTCAAGGTCAATATGTTTCCCACTCTCAGTGGGGGTGTCGTCTCCAACCTTCTCTTTCTGTCCGTCGTTGGCCATCTATTCTCTTTTCTTTTCCACAGATGGCGCCAAATTGTGTGAGTGAATTTCCTATCACACTACCAACTTAGTATTCAGCTGGAGAATACTAGCAGAATAGATGACACCTGGCTGACCTGCAACAGAAAGAGAAGATCTCGGCGGTGGTTCGTCCACCCGGGGGCACTCTGACGATCAAGTCAGTATATCTCTCAAAGATAATCAATAGTACTTAACTCACTAGACAAAGCATAAAAGACATATCTTAGACCCATGTGGGTGCCTCCTTTTTATAGCCAACATAATCCTAGTCCCAATAGAAGCCTAGCTCTAATGGACTTAGGATTACTACTAATCTTGGACTCCTAGTAGGATTAGGATAAACTCTCTAAGAGTCTTATTTTTACCCAAACTGAAGTCTTC